CCCGGCTCCCAGCAGCCCCGTGCAAAGCAGATGTTTCGCTGCGGACGCGGAGCTGCGCCGAGCTGCGCGCCCCGGAGGCCGCGGTTGCCATGGCGACGGCCGGGCCGCCTGCTGTCGCCGAGCACGCTGTCTCGCCCGCTCAGTGATTACCTCCATCTCCGCAGCGTTCGCCATACGGCCCGGATTCTAATCAGATCCCCTCCCCTCCCCCTCCCTGCGGCCTGGCAGAGCCCACCCGCCTCTGCCCAGCCCACTGCCCCCTTCGGCTCCCGCATCCTGGGGGCTCATTAAGAATTGCCGGTGCATCCCTGAGGGTACCGAGAACAGCGGATGCGAGAGAGCCCCCCTGCTCGCCAGCCTTTGGGAATGACCTGCGCAGTTAGAAAGAGCTTCTGTGCCCTGAGGCTATCTCCCGTGGCACTGGATGGAGCCTTGGGGTGCAGTTCTCTTTACTGTCTTCTGGTGACTCATCTCCCCCACTCCCCGCTTCTTGGTTATGTTGAGGCCACCACGTCAGGCCCCTTCCCCTGGACAGGACTCTTCCATTATGGTTCTGGAAGGGCTAGGCCTGATCTCTCCTGCACAGACCGGAGGTGAGGTGGGAGTCTGGAGCCGTCAGTACTCCAGCGGTGCCCCTGGCTGGCCCTGGTGGTCACTCAGAGGTAGGGGAGTCCGGAGGCGCTCATATAATGCCAGCTGGCCGGGGCTAGGCCCCCGGTTACTCTGATCATCTCCCCACCACACACACACACACACACACACACACTTTCCATGCTCCCAGGTTGAGGGGGTTGGTCTGTGGAGGTGGTCTCAGATGTACCTCCAGGTAGCCCGGCAGGTCAAGCACTGAGTCCGTTCTTCAGGTTTGGTGGTAGGCAAGGGGCAGCTGAGGCTCAGGGTCAAGACTCAGGGCCTTGGACTAGAGGTCTTTCTGTTGGGGGCGAAGATTCCTTTCCCTGGGACAAGCCCCCTCCCAAACATTCCTGGTGCCAGGAGAAACAAGGCAATGACAGAGACGACAGGCAAAAGAGGATACAGGGGCTCCTTGCAGGAGACTGAGAAGAGACCCAGGGCAGATGCCATATTCCAGGCTAAATCACTGGCCTGGAAGCAAAAGGACATTTTGTTTGTTTGTTTGTTTGAAGGAGGGACTCCCTCAGAGGAATCAGAAGTGGAAAAATTCTACCAATGCCACAGAAAGCTTGTTAAAACCCTCCTACAACATCGGAGATGCCAATGTCTCTCCCCCTCCCACGTTTGCCTGCAAAGACCTGATCAGTGTCAGCGAATGAGAAGAAATGCTACTCTGAACTCTCCCTCCTGAGTCCAGTAGGAACCTCATGTTAGAGCTGCAAGGGCTTGAAAGTTAGACCGATCCTTCACTTTAGGGATGAGCCGATGGAGACCCAGAGAGAGACCACAGCTGGCCCAAGACGCCATCGAACATGGCTCTGCTTTCAGCCGGGCCCTCCCCTTCCTCAGAGGCCACTCTCTGGGAAACTCTGTTTCCAAGAGGCACAGGCAGAATCCCAAAAATGTCAGGCCTCTCCAAGCCTGGCGGCGGCCTGTCTCCTGAAAGCCTGTCACCTGAAGGCAGCCTGGCTGGACTGACAGCTCCCCCCTACCCCCACCCCACTGGCCCGGGCCTCCCTCGGGGTGATGGTGGGGAGGGAGCTTTTGTGGGGCCTCCCTCCATCGATTGTCTGCAGCTCTGTCTTTGTCTGTCTGTCAGTCAGAAGTGAACCACTGTGGGGAGGGGTCAGGCTGGTTGGTGGAAGGGGAGAAAGAGGCCTGTCCCTGTCATCCAGGGATGGGGAAGAAGGCGGCTAGTCCAAGGTGGGACAGGGCTCTTTCAGCCTCCTCATCCCCCGCTCCCAACTCCTTGGCTCCCCTAGAGAATTCCAGGCTTTGCTCATTTTAGAACCAGAACGGCAAGTGTCCACAAAAACCCTTCTCCTTTCCCTGTGGGAAATCTCGTGTTCCCAGCAGAGGTCTGACTCAAAACCATTGGGAAGGAGGTTCCACTGTGCCCGCCCCCCCCTTCCACTCATCTGCCTCTCTGGCTTCACTCCGGTGTTTGCCTATCTCCCCGAACCCCCTTCCTCAGACTCCCCAGGCACCCCTATCCCCCCACTGCAATCACACACATATCCATCCCCTGAGAGCCCCTGTTTTCAGGCTGCCCAAGCGCCAGCAGGACTCTGCTGCATCTCCCCAGATTGCGCGGTTTCCAGTCTCCCCTTGCTCCCCCTGCACACGAATCTGCCTCCCCAGCTTCAACTGTTTTCAGGCTTCTCTCTCTGCCCCCCTGTACACAAACTGTCTCCCCAGATCCTGCTGTTTCCAGGTTCCCCCATGTTTCCCCAGTACACAAATTGGCCTCCCTGGGTTCAGCAGTTTCCAGAAGCCCCTTGCTCTCTCACTAGGCAGTTCCATCTCCCCAGATTCAGCTGTTTCCAGGCTCCCCTCATTTGCCCTGTACACGGATACCTCTCTCAGGTTCTGCTGTTTTCAGGCTCCCCTATTTCCCTGGTACACGGATCGGCCTCTAGCTTATGTTGATCCCAGCTGCCTAAGGGATTCAGCAGGTTTAAGGAGAGAGGAAGGAAGAAGTGAGTCAGAAAGAGGAGGAGAAAGGATGTCATCAGGGAAGCTCCTTATTTCTCTTGCAGCCCAGATCCTAAGTAGCTTGCACACAGCTGCCTCTGGGCCTCTGACTCCACAAATACGTCCCTTGAGTCAATCTGCCCCGGAATACCCCAATTCACTCCTCCCTGCTGCTGTGCAGGGTCTGAGCTTTAACCTGAGTATCCTCTGGAGAGCCTCATTCAGCAAGGCCAGTGAGTGCTCTTGTCCAGCCTGGGGCTGTCAGGCTGTCGTGGTGGCCCAGCCTCCCTGTCCCTCCTTGCTAATCCCTCCTGACCTCCCCACCTGCTGTACCCTAACTTTTCTAAATTTATTCATTTAGAACTTAAAAGAGTCTTCAACTACAACCCCCAGAACAAAGGGGCACAGAACTAGAGAGCCACACTCCCTCCTCCCCCCAATTTTTCAGGAGGGAATAATATTAATCTCAGGCCCTGGAAATCCATTCTGGGCCTGGTATAGCATCCAGACATGCTTCTCCAGCCTTTGTAAAAACCGGTTTCATCCTTGTTGCATAAAAACAGCCTCCCTGTTTTTAACAGCATCCCAGTCCGCCTTGGGGGACAGAGGGAGGGGTTACAGTGTTCTGCAAGGTTTTCCAGGATTCTTACCTTCTAAATATTGCCCCCAAAGTTTCTTCTGGAATCTGGGGAGATGTGTCCGATTCTCCATTTCCTCCCTCCACTCCCATCCACCTACCATTAGCCTAAGGCTAGCAATTTTGTCGTTCTAGATAACGCATCTTGCCAGCTCTGGCAAACATTCTGGGTTCACCAGGAAACAGATCGGAAGGCAGGGTCCAGAGCAGTGCCCTCACAGCAGAGAGACCTATCTCCAAAGGAAGCCAACACCAGGGTTCCTCCCTGCTGCTACCCCAAGACCAGAGAGCAGCTTCAGTATCCCCACCTGTCAGGTGGGGTGACAGTACCTGCCTACCTCCCAGCTGCAGGGAGTGCAGGACAGTTACACATGTAGAAGACATGCAGAATTCCTTTACGGAATGTGACAAATGTGAGTTATTTACATAAGTTCTATTAAAAGAAAGCAGAGCAAGAAGCTATTCTGTATTTTGTATATAAATTCTCTGTTGTTCGAAAACAAATGCAGCTGATAGCATTCATTATTAATTTCATTATTAAAAAATTTATTGGAATTGATGTACCTAGAAACTGTACCAGATACCTTATACAGTGTAGTTGCAGATATGCATTGAAAAAGGAACTTAAGGGCCTCCCTGGTGGCTCAAGGGGTTAAGATGCAGCACTATGAAGCTATCCACAGCCACTGCAGCATGAGTTCAATCCCCGGTCAGGGAGCTACCCACACGGCACAGCAGACCTCTCTTGTCTCACCCACTGCTCTCCTCAGCAGTGTGTTTCAGTCAGTCTGCCTGTTCTGTTCTCCACTCTGTCTCTGGTGAATCCTCTCACCTCCCCACACCTCTGGCCTGTATCCCAGTTCTTGTATGCATAAATAAATAAATCTTTTTTTAAAAAGTAAAAGTAAAAGGCACTTAAATGGATGAATTTCAATCTATGTAAATTTTACCTTAATAAATCTGATTGAAAACATGCAAAGAAAACTTTTGAGTCAAGAGCTATGCTTTTGTTTTTTAAATTGCCCAGGAAGACACTCCTTGTCTTTGGGATTCTATATATAAATATTAGGTTCTGATGCTCTGCAGAAAGCATGGAGTATGGGGGGCACAGAGAGGCAAGCGGGGCTTCAGGAAACTCTTATGTCTGGCCCAGCTCTCTCACTTGCTAGCTGTGTGACATTGGGTAAGTCATCCTTGGCGCTTTTTCCGTCACGGAGGGTCTCCAGCGTGCTCTCTCAGAATCACTCAACTTCCCAGCCACCCCCGGGGGACAGGTCACATCTCTTGTTGAAAGGGCTGTCAGATTTTCTTGCCTGTATTAATCAGGACCCCGTTTCTCCGAATAGTTGTCCTGGTTCCTGGGGGGTCCCCCCCTCCCCGACCCCACCCGGGGGGTTCCCCCCAACCCCGCTCCAGCAAGGCGCTCACGCCTCTCACGTGGGATCCCTTCCCCTCAAGGTTGCGCTCTGCCGCCTGGGGGCCTCTAGGGATGGACTCCAATGCTCCGCTCTTTGGGAGAAGTGCCATGCGGCAGGCGGTAGAGATGCCCTCTAGATCTGGCTCCTGCAGGTCTTTCCACAGACCAGCCTGTCCCCCAGGCGCAAAAGGATGGCGGTGGGGCTTGTCTTACAGCGCCATCTTCTGGGCAGACCGGGGAGAGCCAGCGCGTCTTGCTGTCACGCAGGGAAGGCTGGGATAGCACTTGGCGTCAGAAGTTTTGCGTTTGTTTTTAATCTTATTTGCTTCCCCATAACAGAATGCCGGATTCCTGACTTTGCCAGATGTCCCTTAGGAGAGAATGTTCCAGAAGCCCTTCAGTCTTCTGAAGAAAGGCTTGGACTCTCTGGGGCAGTGGTGCTAGTTCCTAACCCACTGAGAACAAGAAGCAGTTCCAGATGGAGACATGAGTTCTAATCACCCCATCAGGAAACTCCTGTCTCCACACACCCCCTCCACGTGTCCCCAACATACCTGCTCCAGGAACTGTGTCAGTCACCAACACGAAGCTGTTGCCTGAAAGTCTCCATGATTTTCAGAGTTTTCTTTCTACCACAAGTTTTCACGGATAAGAACTCACCACAGCCATGAAAATCAGATACTTTTTTTTTTTTTAATAGAGGCATGTTTTTCTTTATTTGTTTGCTTGTTTGTTTGTTTTGTTTATACATGCACTGGGCACAGTCAGAAGCGCAGGAGGGTGAGAGAATTCACCAGAGCCAGAGCGGGGAGCAGAGCAGGCAGAAGGACCGAAGTACACTGCTGAGGGGAGCAGCGGGCGGCAGGAGAGGTCTGCGCGCCATGTGGGACCCTCCTCCGGTGGCCGGGGAGCAGCCGGGGATTGAACCGGCGCCACAGAGGCCGCGGGCAGCTTCGCAACCCAGCGATCAACCGCTGCGCCACCGGGGAGGCCCCAGATACTTATTTTTAAAGCCTTGAAAATCAATTACCTGGATGAGGAGACAGTGTGGTCCTGAGAAAATGAAATCATATCTCTCTTGTTACTTTCTTACTACAGACCTATTTGCTGTTTTTTTTTTTTTTTTTTTTTTTTTTTTTTTTTTTTTGGTGGTGACTGTGTTTGCTTTCAGAATTGAGGTAGGTGAGATTGGTCAGAAGACACCAAATACACAAGCAATAAAAAGGATGTGTTGCTTTTAAACATACTTTGTAGAACCTAAACGTTCAAATCATTGACCCTAGCAAAGTGGTCCCTTTAAAAGGTCTCTTTTACAATGATTGCCTGAAATTATCTGAATTAATTCCAAAGTACCAACTCTTCAAGCTAAGTGGATTGGATTTTTACAAGCTGTTTAGTGACAAGATCAGCAATCAAGCTGCATGGCCCAGTTGTGGATACAGAATGCCAAGTGACTTGTGAGAATGATTGCCTTCTATAAGTCATATGCTGACCTTCAACTCGTTCCTCTCTTGAATTCCCCTTCCACGTTGCTGGCAGAGTTCCTTGCTCAAAACATCGAGTTGGTATCATTTAACTACTTGAAAATCTTCAATGGCTCCCTATTATCTTTAGAATACAAGCCCTACCCCATAGCTCTACCTGCTGGAGGCAGAACAGTGGGCAGTGGCATCCGGTCAGCAGGGGTTTAAAGCTCACCTCGGTGCTCCAAGGCAGGGCTGAAAAAAGAGAAGGGATCTGAGAAAGATTCTATCCAAACTCCAAGTTTCCCTTATTTGCAAAAAGAGGGATAACAACATCTATCAATACTTGTTAGTTTTGGGGACAATACTGTTTTTAGGGTTTACAGAACAGTAAACTCGGTAAAGAGCAGTAGTTCTTCAGGGTGACACTCAACCCTGTGGCAGCCTATCCTGGGGGAGCAGTCTCAGCTCTGAACACAGCCAGGCCTCCCTGCCGATACACCCCTCCTCCACTCCAGTTATTCATTTGCGCCCCCCTCTCTTTCTTGAACACCGGTCACTGCTTCTTTGCTTTGCTTTTTTATTGTTTCCTTCCCAGCGTTCCTCTCCCTGTCTTCTGTGAAATACTATGTAACACGCTATCTCCTGTCAATGTTGTCATTTCTGCTCACAGAGCGTTGTTCCCAGTCAAATTTAATCTCCCTGGGTCAGCAACCATGTCTTCCAGTTCATTTTAGAAGCTCCCAGCAACCTGCGCTAAGGTGTCTGGCCCAGAACAGCCGGTTAGTAAATGACGAAAGAATTCATTCCAAAAGCAGCTTTATTTTAGTGTGACTAGGTTATTCTTTTTTATCGATATAGCTTCCTCAGTCACTTACACGTGCAGTATAAAGTCCACAAGTGCTTTACAATCACTCTCATTTCTTTGGATCATTACCTAAGAATTTTCCAGGTTTTGTTTTTTTTTTTTTTTTCTGGTAAAATGAGGAGATGAGGAAACAGATGAGCAAAATACAAAATACAAACATGTTGAAGATAGAGTAAAGTTGGTTGCTGTTTGATTCATTTGACTTACCTATAGGAAAAAGCACACATCTTCAATGTAAGCTCTGATTTTTTTCTGCAGCTCAGATCAACATGCAGAACACAAATCAACTTGACTGTCTCTCAGATCCCTTCCCTTCTTCCAGCCCTGCACCCCACTGCCACATCTGGGCCCAATTTCTTGCTAATCAGCCTCCTTCCCTTTCCTAGCGCCTGGCTCATGGCAAACATTCAAATCTTGGAAAGAAAGAACAATGCAACCAACAAATGAAGGCAGGCAGGGATGTTGTTGAATGACTAAGGGAAGGGAGGCCTGTAGGGTTGTGTCCAATCTGTTTTGGGTAAATTATTTAACTTTGCCTACATCAGGTTAAAGAGTATCTACTGGAAATACAGAAGGAAGATTATTTTTTCTCTGTAGACTTTTCAAAGGGAGGTGGAGGGAAAGTTTGAGCTTCAAGGGAGCTCTCGGGTTCACCTCCCGACCCCACTCCCAGGCCTAACTGGTGCTGCATTTGCCTACAGGCACGGTCCAGCAGAGACTCTCCAGGCCGCGGGCTGGTCAGCAGGAGCCATCAGTCACTGTCCCGCTGCTCTCCAATCCCACCCTCTCTGCCTCCCGCCAGCCAATGGCCGCGAAGCGGGGCGCTGAGCTAGAGGGGGCGACCTGCTCAGGGGGCTATAAAGGAGAACCGGGGCCTAGCCGGGCTACCGCTGTGCTCCCAGTCGGGCTTAAATGTGGCTCGAGTCCCCTCCTGCCTCAGCTCCTCGGGGTCGGTGCTTCTGTGCGCGCCCCGCTGGGCCCTGGCTCCTGCGGTGCCAACTGAGCAGGAGGGGGAGCCCCGAAGGCCCCTCTCCCACCTTTACGCGCGGGGGCCAGGGGAGGGGCCCTGGGGAGCAGAGCAGCCGGGAAGGCAGGTCCCCGCGGTCACTCCCGCCAGGAACCACCCACTGCCCTTCCCGAAACCGTTCCTCCCCGCCCGCCTGCGCGTCCGCCGGCTCCGGCCTGTGGCCGCTCTAATGAGGCCTCTGCGCGAGAGCCGGTGCCGCGGGCAGAGCTCCAGGCAGACCGCCAGGCCCGCCGGCCCCGCGGCTGCGCCGGGCAGCGGGCGCCTCGAGGAGACCCTGGGCGCAGCTGGGGCTCCGCTTCGGACAACCCCACAGCCCCCCAGCCCAGGGTCGGGTCTGCAAACTTGGCTTCCGCGTGGAAAAACTGCGCCCCCCTGCCCCGGCCGGGGCACCCCCGGCCCTCGCGCGCCTCTGCCCTGCTGTCTCCGCGCGCCTCCCCCCTACGCGGGCGTGGGCCTGCTGTTTTGCTGCAACCTGGGTCCCGTAGAGGGCGAGGATTTCTTTCTGGTGACTTCTCTGAGGGTCCCCTTGGTGGATTTTTCTTAACCCAGTACAGCCCCCGTGTACGAGAGGTTCCGACGGCCCTGGGCCGGGGCGCAGGAAAACCACCTCTCCGCCAGCAGCGCCCCCACCCCCAGCTCGGCCCCCTGGAAACTGCCGCCGGCCCTTTCAGAGCCTCGGTGTGGCCCTCCGCGAAATGGGCTTAGAACCGCGCAGGCCACAGGGCTCGGCGAGCCGGTTCCGGTGAAATAGCGGCTCTTCCTTTCCAGGACCTGCGTAATTGGATCGTGGGGCCGGGCGGGCGCGACCTGGTTGCTAGGAGACTAATTTGGTCCCTCCTGTCCTTGCGGCCATTTAGGGCCGGAGGCTGCAGGCGGGCAACCGGGTGAAGCCGTTTATTTGTAAAAGCATTTCTGGGGTATTTCTCATTTCCCGTCGCCACACTGGCCCCCAAACTCCGCAGTATCAACAGCATTCTCTTCTCCCCCCGCCCCCTTGCAGAGTTGCCTTTGGCATTATTTACCGGAATGGATTATGCGCACTCATACACAACAGCGTTCCCAGCGCGTCTACATAACGATCGTTTCCTCTAATCACAGAAGCAGTCGTGTCCACCTTAGACAAGAGTTTTATAATGCAGGACGTGTTGACCTGCAGGACTCGCTGCACCCCGGACTCGCTGCGCTCTAACTGGCTGCAGACGGGAATTCGTGTGCCCACGGCGAGGCGGGTCCCGCCGGGCGTGCCTAGCGTTCCGGTTGCCAAGACAACGCCCCGTCGGGAAGTGGGAGTCACGCGCGGAGCTCCTAGGCGCGAGGGTCGGTCCCGCCTCGGGGGCGGAGAAAGTCAGAGGCGCGGGGTCCGGAGGGCGCGCGCTCCCCGCGTTCCCCGCCAGGTGGCGCTACAGGATCGCGGATGCGGGCCTGGGGCGGGGCTCCCGGCGGCCGGCGGCCCCCGCGAGGGGCGGGCCCGGGCCGGGGCAGGGAGCGGCGGCCGCGCTCTGCGAGGGATCCCGGGAAAGTTGCCACGGCGGGACCTGACGGTAGTAGTTACGTGGACTCAGAAAAAGTATGCGTTCGAGAAAGAGAGGGAGAAACGAGGTGGGGCCGGGGTGGGGGTGTTTGGGCCGGGAACAGAGCTGGGGGGTCGCGTCCACCTGCAGGACTTTGCGCCTCCCTCCTGCCTGCTGGCGGCCGGGATCCTCCTGCGCCCTTCTCGTCCCGACCTGCCCGCGATTTCCACCCCCACGGGGCGCACTGGGGCTCTGCACACACGCGCGGGGGCTGGCCCGTCCCCTCGCGGCTCGCCGGCCCCAGTGCCCGGGGCTCGTGCCAGTGTAGGAATTCCGCTCCCCGGCGTGCCAAGAAAAACAGGCAAGCTGTGGCTTAGCTTGCCCAGAGGAAGCCCCACGCCCTTCCCTTCTGGAGGCTGGGGATGGAAAAACTGACGCCACGAGTCCCCAGGGGGCCACCAAGTGCGCCCCCGCTCTGGCGGGCCTTTTCTCGGAAGCATGCGCCATTGGGGGGTCCCTTCTCCGCCGCCTTCCACCCCTCCCCCAAACTGCGCCACTCCCACTCTTAACGTCACTGCCATACCCAGCCCTGGCGCCAAGATGGGACTCGGGCGTTAGTGCCCTGCCCCTTCACGAAGTTAAACCTCCCTTTCCCCTGGCAGCCCCCCCACCTCCCACGACACAGCCACCAGGATACACCCTGGCGCTGGCCACGGGAAGATGAGCCACAGAAAGCCCAGGAAGCTTTACTGGATCACGCGCGCACACTTCCCAGGCCGAGAGAAAGGAAACCATGGGCAGGAGGCAAATGCGGGTTTATTAGGGCTCTGGGGCCGGGGGTGTCAAAGGGCTGCGTTAAGGCCGCTCAGCTGGTTCTAGTGGCCCTAGCGGTTCTCGGGGCAGCGAGAGGGGGTGGTTCAGTGCTGAGGCCAACCCTGTGCATCTCAGAGTCCCTGGCAGAAGACCCTGGGAGCCAATTCTGGGAGGGCATGGGGATGCAGAGGGAGGGTCTCTCCTGTCCCTTGGAGTCTGCCAGGATTGGAGAAATGGTCCGGAGGCAGGGAGATTTGAATGCATAGCTTTCATTTCAGTAATGACCATTTAATTTGCTCCTTGGCAGACTGAAGAACCTGGGTGGGGATAGGTTGAGAGAAAGAATTGGGGGGAATGTTAAGTGCCTTCACACGGCCGTTAAAGGGAGGTCTACAGGCCCCCTTCCCTAAGTGTCCTGCAACCCCCAGTCACTAGGTGGCAGCAGCTCATCTCTGCTGGCGTAAGCGGGGCTAGGCCTTAAAGACAGAAAGAGCAGCCCAAACAGGCTGCAGCCAGCTCCCTGGCCAGGCCCAGGCCTGCCCAGGCCTCCAGCTCCCACATCTGCAGCCTGGGGTGTGGCAGCCAGCCTGCCTGCCCCACTTCAGGCCGCTCCCGCCCACAGTGCCACGTCCAGGCAAAGTGGACCCAGGCCTGACACTTCCTGTGCCCGGATACCTCAGAAACCCTTAGCTCTGGCCTTGACTGGCATTGTGCCCTCAACACCCCACCCCATCTGCTGCTGATGTGGCACAGCTGGCAAAGGGTGGCTGGCCGGGCACTGCTGCCAACACCTGCATTCAGATGTGTTCACTTTCAGTCCTGCTGAGGAAACAGTCTCCATCTGGTTTTCATACAACTGTGCACACATGATGTCAGCACCGTGAGGACCCCAGCCTTGTCCCTCCAATTGTCCCTCCAGCCAACAAGCCTCATCTCCTCCCACAATGGTCCATTCCACACAGTCCCAGCCTCCTGCACAGTCTCGCCCTGGGGTGTTCCCTCTTCTTCTAGCCAACTTCTAACTTTCTCCTCATTTTATCTCTCACTCATTACTTGCATCTTCCTTGGTTTTGACTGAAAAATTTCATTGAAAGTGCTAAACCTTCATTCTTTCCCCCTTTTGAAAAACAGGAGATGTGCTAAGAGCTTTCCAGGCATTCACTCAGTTCATTCTTATAACTATGAGGAGGGTCCCGTGATTCTCTGAGGCCCACAGAGGATGAGTAACTTGCCCAAGGTCACCCAGCGTGTAGGTAGTGAGGCGGGGCATACAGCCTGGGAGGTGTTTTTAATGTGCTGTGCTCACTGCCCCTTAATCTCTTTCTGCCCTGAAAATCACCATACAGCTGCATTCACCCCAGCAGGTCCCGGGGAGGCGTGAGGATCGGGAGGAGGAAAGGCAGCGAGCGCACCAAGGGCAGGCATGGAAAGTGGACACCACACCTGGGCTCCACATGGGATGGCGCATGACCATTTTGGCCTGCACACCCACAGCAGGAGGTAGTTAGTGCCAGGGCGGGAAGCTCCGTAAAAGCAGGATTAGTCTGCATAGAGAGACCTGCGGGCAGACAGAACAGAGGTCAAGCATCAGCCTGACAGCAGGAAGTTTGCGCAGCTGTGAAATCAGTCAGGCCACAGATCCAGGAACTCCCTTGCTCCACATGCACCCCCAGAGAGGACTGGGGACTGTAAGGGGTAGAAGTTCCCACAGCCAAGTCACTTAGGTCAGGGGGCAATTGGTGAGTAGAGAAAGCTAGATCCTATATCTGGTTTAAGGGTTCCTTAACAATTCTAAATAAGAGAGGTTTCTGGGTTGGGGGCGAAGATCAAGGACTAGAGTCACCAGATTGGTTTGGGGAACAAGCGACCCAGCCACCTCCAGGGTGGGCAGCTCACCTCAGTTCAGTGTGCTACATGCCAGGACATGAGGCGGGCTGCTGGGTAGGCACTCAGCCTAGCCCATTCCACTCTGTGACCCTCCAAGAGGTGCCCTGTCACTGCCCATCCCTGCCCCCACACCCCTGACTTCTCAGCCTTGACAGGGACACAGGGCCCCTTAGGATGCCCTGCTCTCCTTTCTCAGGCCTGTTGCTGGCCATGGAAGATGCAGGAGGCCTACCTGGGCCACGCTCTGTTCAGTCAAGCCGCTGTCATCTGCCTGCGGAAAGCAGAATCATGGAGTAGTCAGGGTAAGTGAAGGTTTTGGGTGCAGAGAGATGGGAGAAAGGGGCGGGGTGGGGGGCAGTGGAGCAGTGATTAGGGGATCCAGAACTGAGTCCTATCCTTTGGAAGCCAGGACCCCTGGGGCCAGTCTGTGGCACAAGGAGGGTGAGGCAGTGAAGGGGAATAAAGGTGGAAGAAGGGCTTCATCCAGACACGGAAGCCCAACTAGGGAGAATCTAGCTATAGCCCCACTCCCCAACCTCAAGACCGAGGCAGCTTCCTAGTGTTGCTTTAAGGATTTGTTGATTTCCCCAACCCATACTTCCCACCAGTGTGGATGGGGAGGTGCTTGGCGATGCCGCCGTGGGAGAGGACAGGGTATCTCATTTACGACAGCACCCTAAAACTGCCACTCCCCCGTATATGCATCAACCTGGTGACTGCTTCTGCTAAAGGCGCTTAGGTCCCCACCATCCCGGCCCTGGGAACCCCATGAACAGGGAGGACAAGAGATGGGGATGGGGTGGCAGGCTGGAAGAGTGAGAGTTGGAGGGGGTGGGAGCAGGAAGCTTCTTACCCTAAAATTCACTTTCTGGACCACTTGCTGGGGGTCGCTCTCCAGAATCACTCTACAAAATGAGAGAAAAAATGGGGTGGGGGGAGAGGTGGTATGACTCTCCCCTGTGCCTCTTCTCCCTGTGAAGCTCTTCCCTGCCCCAACATACCCAGCAAGATCCCCTGCTGTGGGGTTTCTTGGCTATTTCCAGTGGGAACGCCCCCTTCCCCTGGAGGGGCCTTTACTCTGACTCCTCTCCAGTCAAACCCAGGAGCCCACATACTTGGTGGGCTGAGCAAAGGCTCAAATGAGGTGATGGATTGCGTCTAGAATGAACAAGGGAAAGCAGAGACTCAACACTCAGAGCTCCTGAAAGTTCACTTCACCTTCTCAGTCTAGAGCAGAATCAGATGGGGAAAAGGAAGCCCCATGGGGTACCTATCTTGTTTCACTGTCATCTTATGCTAAACCATACACAAAGAAATGGAATCCCCCAAATCAGAATCTCTTCCTTTTTGAGTCACCCAAACATCGAGGCTTCTCTCTGCTAACAGCACTCTTTGATGGTGCACTGGGGGCGCTCTGTGGCTGTTAGTGGGTGTGTGCCAGGGTGGAGTGTGAGGGCGCTCACTGTGGGTGGGGAGACCCCAGGACTGTATGAGTCCTCCTCACCCTGTCAGGGTCATGTGACACAAGTCCGGTTTTGCTTTTGTAGCAGTCCCAGGGAAGAGCAGACATTTCCTGAGAGCCCCCAGTAGACCCCATCTCTGGGCACCCCCAGCCCCAGGCTCCCTCGCCTTCATCCACACAGACAGAAGCATCACAGGCCAAGGCTCCAGTGCAGGTGCTGCCTTTGGACTGATATGTCCCCCATTTTCTTTGGAGGGAGCAGAGGCTGGGCGGTTTTTGCAGCTTATAGCCTCCTCCTCTGGGGCCCTGCTGCGGTCCTACACTTCATTTTGTATTTGTAATTGTGTGTGTGTGTTTTCCTTAAAGAGGGCTCAACAAATTGTATATACTCTGGTTCCAGAAAACCTGGTCCTACTCATTTTGGGGCCCTAGCAGTTAGGACAAGGTCCTGCAGTACCAGGCAGACAGCTGCAGAGGGACGGAGGGGGAGCTCCACAGTCCATCTCCCAGACAATGGCTCCCGCCACCCACACCCCCCTCCCCCACCCCCTGCTTCCAGGCAGTGTGTGGGTACAGCACAATGGGGAGTACAATCTCTGGTTTGAGATCTTGCGCCTGCTCCTTCCTCGCTATGTGACCTTGGGCAAGTCAGTTGAATCGCTGAACCTCTGGCTCCTCATCCCGAGAATGGATGAAGGACAGAGGCATATGGGAGTCTTTACAGCGGTCAGTTTCGGTTACCCTGCGCCCTAGAACCGGAGCGCTTTTTCTCCCGAATGTTGCCTCCCTGCCAATCAGGGCTCCCAGCTTCCCAAGAATATGCAGTTGGCCTTGAACACTCAGGAGCTTAGGGACACCAAATCCATGGGGCAGTCCAAATCTGAGTATTGCTTTATCGTCGCCCTCCCTACCAGCGCCTCTGTATCCCCATGAGGTTGGCTGAATTTGTAACAACAGAATCCACAGATAGAAAAAAATCCTGTGTAGAAGCGAACCCAGGCAGTTCAGCTCCGGGGTGCTCGAGTGGCAACTGTAGTAGCGTACCTACAGGAGGTGGCATTTTTTGAACAGGAATCATGGGCTTTGCCCATATCACCCCATTTAACCCCACAGCCCTGTGATGCAGTTCCCATAGCCCCACCTGAAAGATGGGGAAACTGAGGCTCAGGGGAGCAGGTTGCGGGTCAGGGCCATGTATCTAGTTGATGTGGACAGAGCTCTGAGAGCTGGAGGCGAGCCGTTGACAGGGCTCTGCCTGAATGAAGTCCTTTTAGGGGGGCTCCGAGGCTGCCTGCTGCTTCTGGCTACTGGAGCCAAACCATTCCCCCCAAACCCGCCCCTTCAGCTGTCAGCCATCATCAGAAACCAGTTGCTTTTCTTGGTTGCTTGACTTTGGCTGACAGTGAAATCAAGCTCCTTCCTCACGAGCGGGGTGGGGGCACAGGACCGCCAGGGATATGATGCCGGGAAGGAGAGCGAAATTGGCCAGAGGGCCAGCAACAACTGGGTGTAATCCAGACCGAAGACCCTCCATGCTTTTTCCCTGTGAGAATGTGCCTGGACACCCCCTTCCCTCCACCCCACCCCTTCCGCCTCCACCCCGTCCTCACCCGCCATCCACAATCTCGTCCAGCACCAAGAAGGCTCCGTCCATGTTCTCCAGCAACCAGCGCTTCTCCACGTTCTTCCTGAAGGCAGACACAGCTCCTGAGCCTCCAGGGCCAGGTCCTGCCTAGACAAGACTGCTTCCTCCCCCGCTACCCCCCTACAGGCATTGGGGAGGAGAATGTCAAGGGGCCAGGGCAGTGGGGGTGAGGGCGGCAGCTGTGTGAGGAATTCCTAAGCAGAGGGCTGCTTCCCTAAGCCTCCCTTGCCCGAGCCCCATACTTGGGACATAAGCGTGGCCCCGCCATGGCACGCTAGTGCATTTCACAGCTAGCTGCGATGCTGTGGCTCTGCTGTAGAGCTCATTGTGTTGACTGGGAACATTTATTTTGGAGTATCCTAGTTTGGCTTATCCAGGCCGTTGACTGAGACAGATACCAGATAACTGAATGGGGCTGCAGTGACAACCACCCTGAGCCTCAAGTCCAAAAATCTGAGTTTGGACCTTTAGTCCACTATGACTAACTTATGCCCACAGGCAAACGCCTCAGCTTCTCTAGACCTCATTTTCTGGCCATAGCCTCCAGATGGTTCTGCTCTGGGTGATACCACGGTGCTCAGGAAAATGGCCGGGCCTTGGAGGAGGATCTCCAGCTCCAGTCGTAGTCCGGTGGGGACTTGAGGAAGAAAGCAGGAATGACAGGGCCCTGCCTCTGTGACGTATCAAGGTCTGCAGGCTGGGGGCTCAGAGGGCGAGGACTGCACTCACCTCAGCATGTGGTTCAGGGACTCAAACAGGCAGGTGAGAACAGCCATCAGCATCAGCTGGGCGTGGGCGGATACAGGAGGAGAAAACAACAGAGCTTGAGGTTGAAGAGGCTGGAAGGGGACCTCAGAGCTGGCTGTGTGGGCAGGGCTGGGCAGGACTCCCTTCTCAGAGAGGACAGGGCCAGAGACAGCCTGCAGCTCAACCTCAGAGGCCACCTGCCATGTATAGGCAGGAAGCATGGGTGTGCCCTTGTAGGACATCGAGTATATCCCTTCTAGTGACATTTAAGAAAGACACAGAGGCTCCTGCACTGGTCTGGTTTCTGGTTCGCAAGGAACCTAAGGGGCATCAGGGGTCTCCACTATCCCAGACCATTCTGGCTGCTCCCCTCCACCAGAGCCTAGAAGGAGGGGTGCCTTCTCGGTAAGCCTTTAGAACCCAGAAATTCCCCCATCAACACCCTCCTTGTCACCCCAGCCTCCTAAATTCACCTCATTTTCATGGGATGAGCCCACCACATACAGGAAGAGGTCAATGCTGCTCTTGTAGACGATGGTCATGCCCCCGAAAAATGCGATCTCACCTGGAAGTAGAGGAGGCTTTCAGTTCTGGCCCCTCTGTCTGGCCCAAGCCTGGCCCCTGCTCCCTGTCCCCAGCTCTGCACTCTCTCTGTTTCCTTCTTCCCTTTCCAAAGAACCCTTGAAAAGAACAGCACCTGGGACTGACCATGAGGCTATTCAGTGTCCTCTCCTCTTCCTCCACCCCAAGCTCTTTCTAGAAACTGCCTAAGTCAACAAACCCAAAGCAAATTGACCTTCCGCCCACCCTCCCACCACGTCCAACACCTTGGACCCGACCCAGGCTGGTGGGGGACCCGCAACACAGTTGGCCTCTTCCACTGAGAGAGGTATAGGTGTGCTGGGGAGGACGGCGAGAGGGACGGGCAGTGAAGGCTCCCTCTCTGGAGGGAGAGGAAAACAGCTGGGAAGGAGAGAAAAGAGAAACTGAAAAAAAGGAAGTGACTTGTGGGTGTGTAAGTCCAGTGGGGACAGCTGTGTCCAGATGGCGGAGGATGACGGTATGCATCTGCAAGTTCTGGGGGACGATGAGGCAGACACTTACTGTCAGTCCGGCTAGTCTTGTTGAAGACATTTTTCTCGAAGACCATCTGCTCCTTCGTGGAGGGGAATGTGTCATCATAATACTGTGAGAAAGGGAAGGAGAAAGGTGATAGCCGTTCACAGAGCCTGCCTCATCCCTGGATGGGTGGTAAGGAATGGTGGGTGCTGGCCAGGAGGACCCCGCTGCTGTGCCTCATCTCGGTACCACCCTCTAGACCTGGTCTCCTCTATTTCTGCATAAACACAAACTCTGAGCAAAGAAGTAGAGAAATTAGGGGTCTTACTTCTAGATTCCTTTCCTGATTTCTTGGAGGCTTTTGTATATCTGGCAGGTGTGCTAAACCAGTCACTAGTTGCACTGGTTCTACACTAGCACCAGAACACTACCAATTCCTGAGTGTGCCTGACCATCTTCCCTGGCTCTATGGGGGACAGAGAAGACTTCATCCCAACAACTATAAGCATAACATCTGCTTTACTGGGCCTCCCTGGTGGCGCAAGGGGTTAAGTCTTAGCACTATGAAGCCATTGGCAGCCAATGCAGCACGAGTTCAATCCCCAGCCAGGGAGCTGACCTACCTGCGCAGCAGACCTCTCCAGTCTTGCCCGCTGCTCCCCTCAGCATTGTATTTCAGTCTATCTGCCTGTTCTGTTTCCCTCTCTGTCTCTGGTGAATCCTCTCAATCCCCCAACCGACCCTGTACCTCTGGCCTACACCCCAGCTCTTGTATGCGTAAATAAATAACATAAATCTTTAAAAAATAATAACATCTGGGCCTCCCCGGTGGCGCAGCGGTTGAGCGTTGCGTTGTGAAGCTGCCCGCAGCCTCTGCAGCGCTGGTTCGATTCCCAGCTGCTCCCCGGCCACTGGAGGAGGGTCCCACATGGCGCGCAGCCCTCCCCTGCCGCCCGCTGCTCCCCTCAGCAGTGTACCTCGGTCCTTCTGCCTGCTCTGCTCCCCACTCTGGCTCTGGTGAATTCTCTCGCCCTCCCGCGCTTCTGACTGTACCCAGTGCTTGTATAAATAAATAAATAAATAAATCTTAAAAAAAAATTTAGGAAAAAAAAATAATAATAACATCTGCTTTAGTCTCCCCATCATATAGATGGGGAAGCTAAGGTATAAAGAAGTTCTGGAACCTCCCTGACATCTCACAGTAGTGAGGGGCAGAGCTGGGACTCAACACCAAGGGCATCTGATTTCAGACAAGATTAGGATGAAGGTTATATATTTAAGAAAAGTTCTGGCAACTTTGCATAACTAAATGTTTTTCTTGTTTGGGTTTGGTGAGCCTCTCTCTGACTCAATTTCTTAATCTGAAATTGAAATCATGAATGGTAGGTGCAGGGAGGAAGACCTGGAGCCTCTGGCATTGCTGATCCACCCCTGAGCATCTGCTAGGGCAGGAGTGCTCAGTTCAGCTTTCAGTTTCCTACAGGTGGAGTTTCCCCCTTTGTGCCGTCTGCAGACAAATTAGTGTCTCCTGCTGCCCCCTACCTGCATGAACAAGCTCATTTGAAAGTCAAGACAAAAAGTTTCAGCCCCAAACAATCTATAAAACAATTCACAGTCAACTTAGATGCGATAATTCTTCAGTAGCTAATTGCGTTGATGACAGACAGTTATTTTGGGTTATCCTAGCTTGGTTTACCCAGGCCAGTTCCCTGGGATAGGTAAGAGAAATGAACAGGTATACAGTGAAAACCACCCAGAACTTCACGTCAAAAGAGCTGAGTTGGGATCTCTACTTTCCGCTTAGTACTTGACACCCCCACAACTCATTTCACTTTTCTAGATCCCAGCTTCTTCATTTGTGAAAAGAGTTGGATTATGTGGTCTCCAAAATCCTATCTGGTTCTGATTTCTTAGACTCTTTGGGCTAAATCCTTAGTGTTTACTAAAGTGTATGAGAAACAAGAGTTTGGGGACTAGACCCGGACTCAGGTCCCTTCCATACTAGGTTCCAGCTGTCCAGGGGTAGGATGATGAGAAGACATTCAAGGGAAAGTGAGTAGAAACAAAGGGGAGAGACTCCCCCTGTCCCTTGCCCCCACCTTAAGGATCCGCGGTATGACAGGAACAGAATGAACTTTGCAAGGGTCTAAGCTGAGTTGCTTGAGACACAAGAGCCCACAAGGGAGTCTCCCGACTCGGGGGTCAGTTGGGTGGGGCCCTCTGTTCTTGGGACAGTAGCACAGTATTCAGGGACCCCCAGGTGAGGGTGACAGGTTACCTTGGCCAGCAGGCGGTGTCCGTCATTATCTAGGATGAAAACAGCCTTGACGGTGTAGAGGGAAGGTTCCTGCAACTGACAAGGGAAGAGCTCCGTTGGCCCCAGGCTCAAGGCAGACACCCTGAGGTTGGCTCTGTGGGCTCTGCTGGCCCCTGGATGAGGGCCTTGGGCTCCAGAAACCCACCCCCAAAGGTCAACGGCTGCTTCCAGCCCAACCCTGTGCCACATGGGCCAACAGCGGTGCCTGCTCCACTCCCAGGCAGGTGTTCCACTGCAGGCCCCGGGTGGGCGCTGTGCCCATTGGGTGCAGAAGGTCCGTCCGGGCCCAAGTTCTGTCATGCACTGACTGCTGCAGAGGCCGAGTCGGAGTGTATCACAGAACCTGGGCCGGGGGGACAGCGGCGCCGAACCTCCTCCTTCCAGCTGACCCCCGACCCAGGCTGGACGCGCTCTCCCGGCGGGCGCCGGCCCCTGGCCCCGGGGACTCCAGAAGCACACACGTCAGCCTCCGGCCCGGCCCGTGGGAGCTCGAGTCCCGGGCGGGCCGCCACTCCTTACCGCTCCCAGCAGAGGCTTTCAGCGCACCCCAGCTCCGGGCCGTCCCCATCACTGCCCCAAACTGCTCCTGAACTTCAGCCCCACATGCGCTCAGGCCGGCCCCTCGCGACTCGGCGCCCGGAGGAACTTTTCCTGGCCGGCCCCGGCAGGGCCCCCTCCCGGGGGCCGGTCACGGCGGCACTAAGTTCCCGGGCGCGCGATGTGTGAGTTGGCAGCCCCCCCCCCGCCCCCCAGCCCGCAGCTCCCGCCGCCAGGGCACCCGCCGCCCGCCGCTCCGTACCCGCCGCCCCGCGGGCTCCCCGGCTTCCGCGGGCGGCGCCGGGTCCCGGGCCTGGGCGGCCGTGGCCCCCTCCCCCGGGTGCGGACGTGGCCAGGCCTCGGGCCGCTGCATTCCGCTCGCCGCCTCGCGCTGACAGCACCGCCCGCCCGGGCGCCCCGCCTCCGCGGCCGCCGGGCCGCCCCCGGGAAGCCGCCGCCCCGCCCCGTCCCGCGCGGGCCCGCCTCTGCCGGGCGCCGGACTCTGCCCTCGGCCTCCGCCTCCGCGGCGCGCGCCCGGCCCCAGCCCTCCGGCCCAGCCCTCCGGCCCGCGCGCCTGCTCCCCGGCCCCCGGCAGAGCTCAAGGCTCAGCGCTCTCCGCAGCCGCGCTGGTCCAGGACCAGCCCCACTTCCCCTGCAGCCGCCCCCCCCCCCCACCGGGCCCGCGGGGTTCGGTCACCCGGGGGCTGCAGGCTGTGCCGGGCCAGCAGAGGACACACACGAGCCCAGATGTGCCTCGACCCCGGTAGCAGCGCTGGGACGAATCCATCAGGTCATCCCTTGGGGCTCAGGGACAGGTTGTCCAGGGAGCAGATGAGGACCGCCCCGGGGAGACACCCCCCCGCCCCGCAACAGACCCCTCCCCCCGCCCCACTCCTCTCACTCTACTTGGGGAAGGGAGTCATGCCCGCCACCCCACCCTCCACCCGCACATCCCCATAAGCTCCGGCAGGCACAGGCCTGACACACTGAAGGAAGCATTCCCAACAGCGCAGCAGGAGCTCGCCACCCGGGGCAGCGGGGCTTTGCCAGGTGGTTTCTGTGGCCTAAGTAGACCAGAGGGCAAGTTTTCACTTCAGGGTACCCTGGCCAGTGGGAAAGTCACATCCCAATACAGAGTTAATGGTCCCTACCCATTACCCATAAGAACACTATGCGTGGGCCTCCTTGGTGGCGCAAGGGGAATACGCAACACTATGAAAGCTATCCCCTAGCCACTGCAGTGGGTAGCCACTGCAACAGGTAAGTCACTGCAGAAGGAGTTCGATCCCCTGCCTGGGAGCTGACCCACATGGCACAGCAGACCTCTCCTGTCTGGCCTGCTGCTCCCCTCAGCAGTGTTGTTTGGTCAATCTGCCTGTTCTGCTGCCCACTGTCTCTGGTGAATCCTCTCACGCCCCCGCACCTCTGGCCTGTACCCCAGCTCTTGTATGCATAAATAAATAAATCTTTAAAAAATAAAATAAAATAGGTAGTCTGCGAATATTTACACATAATGGCCCTCCCCCTGACTTTAGTCATTCACTCCACAAATGCCTTCTCCCTGTTTGGGGCACCAATGATTCCACAATGAACAAGACCAGCACATCCTCTCTCATCCACATGTATGGGGGGGACTCAAAACCTCGTGGAGAGAAGAACCATAAATTAGTAGAAAAGAAATGTAGGGATTATGGAAGGTACTGTGTAAGAAATAAGTAAAGAGACTGGCAGGAGATCCCTAGTAAGTCAGATCTGGTGGTTGTCAGAGAGGGTTATTATTAATAATAATAAAATGTTCTTATCAATGAAACAACATATTGTGTGCTGTCCAAATATTTATTGAGTACTTATTATGTATCACATACTTTTTTGTTACTGGGCTACAACAGTAGACAAAATAAACAAAATCTTCGCACTCCTGGAGTTTGCATTCCAGCATTTGTGTGTGTGCGCACATGTGCATGCAGGCATTTCTCTGCAAGACAGATAATATACAAATAAATGAATGAAACAGCTATTATGTGAGTTGATGATAAGTGCTATGAAGACAAATAGAGCAGGAATGGGGGCCAGGAACCGTGGGCCTTGGAGAGAAGCAGGGCAGAATGCCATTTTCTTCTAGAGTTCCTTGAGAAATTCTTCAAGAAGGAGATATTTGAACAAAGAGTTGGAGGTGGTGAGAAAGCCAGCCACCCAGACATCTGAGGAAACATCTGCTGAACTGATTTCTATGACGATTTAGAAGGCACATGTGACTCTTCCTTGCAGGCGATCAGTTATAATAGCAAATATAAATCAACACTGTTTGGTACAATGGGAAGAAAAGATGCAGGGTTTTATTTGTTTGGATTCCAGATCATCAAACATAATGTCAGTGGCCATGCTGACAGGGGATGTTATGAAAAATACTGATTATTTTGATGTCTTAATATTTCTTTGAGAATCCATTTTTAGCTCATATATACAAGGACACAACCAAGAGCCCCCGGGGGGCCTTTCCTAGCCTCTTTGGCATATGGAACCCGCAGTGGGAGAGAGTCAGCTTGCAGAGGGAGGGAGGGAGACCTGGAAGACAGGGGGCTTAGGGAGCTGTTGTGGCTCCTGGGGAGAGGTGAGGGAGTAGTGGATGACAAGGGGCTAGAAAGGGCAGGGAGCTGGGGTTCTAGAGGTCAGGGAAGGAAACTTAGGAACCACCAAATCCTCATCACCACCGCCTCTGTTGCTACTGTTAGAGTCATCAGAATTTACATATTCAGTGCAGTGGTGAGTAAATAAACCCAGAAGCCTCAGGTTGAACTTTTCAAGGAAGAGAGTCTTCCCATTGGCGGATCCTCCCCAAACTCCCTCAACAAAGACCCCCAGTATGCCTCTTCCCCGTGTGCCCCCCCCCTTGGGGATGTACTTTTAAATGGGGAGCTCAGGGGGCCTCCCCGGTGGCGCAGCGGTTGGGCGCTGGGTTGCGAAGCTGCCTGCAGCCTCTGCAGCGCCAGTTCGATCCCCGGCTGCTCCCTGGCCATCGGAGGAGGATCCCACATGGCGCGCAGACCTCTCCTGCAACCCGCTGCTCCCCTCAGCAGTGTACTTCGGTCCTTCTGCTTGCTCTGCTCCCTGCTCTGGCTCTGGTGGATTCTCTCGCCCTCCCGAGCTTCTGACTGTACCCAGTGCTTGTATGTATGTATCAATCAGTCAATCAATCAATCAATAAATCTTTAAAAAAAAATAAAAAATAAATGGGGAGCTCAGGGCCTCCCTGGGGGCACAGAAGTTAAGTCTCAGCACTATGAAGCTATCTGGAAGCCACTGCAGCACTTCTACCATACCCCCCAGGGAGGTGACCCACATGGGGCAGCAGACCTCTCCTGTCTCTCCAGCTGCTCCCCTCAGCAGTGTATTTCAGTCAATCTGCCTGTTCTGCTGCCCATTCTGTCTCTGGTGAATCCTCTCTCACACACCCCCACACACCTCCGGGCTACACCCCAGCTCTTGTGTGCATAAATAAATAAAACAAATCTTAAAATAAATAAATAAATAAACAAATAAGGAGCTCAGTGCACAGTGTCAGGACAGTGTCTTTTACAGCATTGCTCAGGAGGACTTGAGAGTGTAAGGCTGGCAGTGCTTCGGAAGCCCAAAGGACCACAGAAGAGAGCTGGATGGATAGCCTCCCCAGAATGAGGAAGCCAGAGCTAGGGTCAAAAAGAATGCAGCCTGGGGGCACCCTATACTTCGAAAATAGAAATAACATTGTAAACCAACTGTTACTTCAGTTAAAAAATATTTTTTTGGGCCTCCCCGGTGGTGCAGCGGTAGAGCCCTGGGTTGCGAAGCTGCCCGCGGCCTCTGCGGCGCTGGTTCAATCCCCGGCTGCTCCCCGGCCACCGGAGGAGGGTCCCACATGGCGCGCAGACCTCTCCTGCCGCCCGCTGCTCCCCTCAGCAGTGTACTTCGGTCCTTCTGCCTGCTCTGCTCCCTGCTCTGGCTCTGGTGAATTCTCTCACCCTCCTGCGCTTCTGACTGTACCCAGTGCATGTATAAACAAAACAAACAAACAAATAAATAAATAAATAAAAACATGCCTCTATAAAAAAAAAAAATATTTTTTTAATTTAAAAAAAAAATGCAGCCTTCAAGTGTCCCCCCCCACCCCACTCTCTGCTCCCTTCAAGGCTGGGTGTGGGATCCCCTCCCCACTGCTGTGCTTATGTCCAACCGGCTGGAGTATGTGGAGTAGCTGCACCCTGAGTCGGTCCTGAGCACACTCTCACACATGCCTGGCCTTTGGAGTCTCCAGGAAGAGAGTGCTTCAAATAGGTTCCCCTCTGGGTCTTGGTGTGTCTATGGAGGTGAGACCATTCCGTTTCCTCTGACTCACTGTCCTGCTGCCACATTTCTGCGCTGTCTGTCCTAGGATTTGAGCATCTGTTCTCATGTGACAAGAAGAAACAGCTCCCTTGGGTAGCAGCCTCTCTCTATCCTTCCTGCTATAATGTCAAGAGGGGGAGGTGTGTGTGGAACATGGATGTATGTGCTGTGGCTCTTCCAGGGAGAAAGCTAAGGTTCCCATGCATTCTGCAGAAGGGGTTGACCTGCCTACGGGTCACTTTCGTTTCTTTGAAGCACTTGGCTTCTCTGGGGTCAGGTTGGGAGTGGGGAGAGTAGGGGAAGAGATGGATGTTACTCTCAGTTCTGCCTCTGCAAAAGCGACTCAATACACCGGATCTGATCTGTCAACTTAGGACACATGGTTATCCCCATTTGGCTGAGGAGGCCCCAAGTAGTAAATTATGAGTCCAAACACCCACTCTTCCCACCTCACAAGAGCGCTTCACTGAAGAGACATGTCATGTAGGAAGAAAATCACCCGACATTTTTGGACAACGTGGTGTGCCATTCAGGATGGCTGAACACAGCTTCATAAACTTACAGCAAGACATGTGGATGAATGATGAGGAATTTTCTTTATCTCTCTTATAAGATTTATTTATTTATGCATACAAGAATTGGGGTACATGCCACAGATGCAGGGACGTGAGAGGATTCCCCAGAGACAGAGTGAGGAGCAGAACAGGATGATTGACTAAAACACACTGCTGAGGAGAGCAGTGGGCGAGACAGGAGAGGTCTGCTGTACCATGTGGGTTAGCTCTGTGATAGGGGATAGAAATCATGCTGCAGTGGCTGCGGGTAGTGTCATAGTGCTGACTTTTAACCCCTTGCACCACCAGGGAGGCCCTGATGAGTTTTCATCAGCCAGGTCAGGGAGAGAGCATTTTAGGATTCAGAACAAGCAGGTAGTGATTCTAGTCTGCTCAGGCATTACCACTGCTCTTCTTTTTTGCCAACTTGGATTCTTGTCTAAGCTAGTGATTTCTC